AAATACTAATTATAATTATCATTATTATTTCTCTATGTTTAAAAATGGATGCAGAAACTTGTTCTAATTCTAAGTGGTGCCTCTCAACCCACTAGGGCTCCCAAGGCAATGCACAGTTGATAAAAACTTTTTAAAAACATGAAACAAATAACGAAAAGGCAATCAAAAGTAGTCCACACTCCTCTTGAGAAACAGTTCTAAATGCTACCACCTTTTAACTTGTCTCCTTGCTGTAGTTTGCGTCTGCAAATGGGACCTAAATGACTTCCCTCCCAAGGATGTTGTGAGAACAAATGAGACATGAAGCTGCTGTACTTAGCAAAATGGGCTACATCAGTTGACAATATATAAGTAAATTACTATAAGTATAGTAATATGTAAGTAATTACTGTAAGTAAAACTTTTGAGACTTACTGTTTTCCTCCTCCTTGTTGCTTAGACAACACATCCAGTAAAGAGCTGGGGGGAGAGGGGTTAAAGGCAGAATGAGGATTCCCTCTTCCTAACTCATTCTTATCAGAATCCTATTCATGCCAGGAGTTGCACAGCTTTCATCCTCTCATAATATAGTGATGGGATATGTAGTAGTGACAGTATATTTTAGAAATGTTTTTAAATTGTGAGCTCAGATAGAGGTGCTGAGATAAGCTTGGAAAGGAGGTGAACTTGTTCCAAGGTCATTTGTAAGAAAGTGTCTGGCTCTAACAAAGAGAAAAGGGTGATGTGGGAAAGGAAAGAGAAATGTGTTCATCGATGTTCACAAGTATGAATTAAGTTTGAATTGTGCTTAGTTTAATTATGTGATTGTAATGTTTGCTGGTCAATTCTGACAATGAAAGTTACCAGATTTAACCTATAATGTTTCTAATAAAGGTTTCTGAGCTTTTACTACTGAGCCTGAGTTTCTGAATTTTGGTATCCTGCTGGATTTGACAACTGGAAATACTCACACAGAACAGGTGTAGAAAGAGATGAGAGGAAGGTTTAAAGATACTTCCTAAGGCAGCTGAATGACCTCTAAACATCAGCCCAGCACTACAGTCTCTAAAGGCATAAACAGCTTAGGCAAGAATTTGTACCTTGCAAAAAAACAGGCAAGGCAAGAACAATGATGAATGGCTTAGCTCTGATGTGCTATCAAGTGGGATGCAGCTCAAGGCCCATCATATCAGAAATTAGGAAGATCTATACACTTCTTAAAGATTTGTAAATTCATAATGGTTAAGAAAAAAAAGCACTCAGCAGTAATTATTTATATGGAAACAAAATTCTACATTCATTTTTCAACTAAAAAGTTAGCATAAAAAGTCATATATATTCTCAAATGCATATCTACTTTACTTAATTCATCCCATTTTGCAAGCAGTTCTTCCTAACACGATGCATAACAAACTCAGACGTGAGAATACGCCAAGATCATGACATTTTGGTTTATATATTGTTTCAGGAAGTGTGAATTTAGCAGTCTCCATCTCTGTCATTAACAATGAGAAAATTAAAGCGCCCCTTACCCAAACATTCCAATTTAAAGCCATTCTTACTCCTTCCTTAGTGGATCTTTTCCAATGATCCTCCTTTGTGGCAATTGTTTTAGTCTAACAAAAGACACTGCAATGTGAAGTTGTAGGCTTTCATGGCCAGCATCCATAGTTTTTTGTGGGTTTTTTGGGCTGTGTGGCCATGTTCTAGAAGAGTTTCTTACTGACGTTTCACCAGCATCTGTGGCTGGCATCTTCAGAGAATGCTGGAATTAAACTATAAAAGACATTGCACCCCAAATGCTGTTTTCTCCGTGGGGTAAATATACCAATATTCTTCCAGCTTTTCACTGAACTCTAAAATCTTTCCTTTTGTCTCTTCTCTGAATCCTCTCAACATTTTCAGTTCTTCTTTTAAATGTTGACTCAAGATAGTCTAGATATTGTAATCTAGCTGACACCTAATCAGCGAGGTGTGTAATTACCTAAAATGCCTTACACAGAGGTTTCTAATTATGAATCCTGTCATGCTGGTTCATGTCGAGATCACAGTCTACCTCTGCTTCTTAAGTGAATACACGTCAAATTATATGTTGTCCTAAGCCAGTGGCTGGCAACCTCTATTACTCCACAGGTGTTTCGACTTCAGTCCCCAGAAGCCTCACCCAGCATGGCTAATGGTCAGAGATTCTAGGTGTTGAACTCCAGGATATTTGTGAAGGGCCAAAGGCCAAGAATCATTGCCCTAGATCGGTACTTTCCAAGCGATCTAGCATGGGAGGGGGGGCAGCAATTACTGTATATACTTGACTGTGAGTCGAGGGGAGATTTGGGGGCCAAAATTATGGATTTTGATATGATTCATGGATACGTCAAGGATAAAACATAGGGACATGTAACAAAGGACCTAAAGGCTAAAGCAAAGGAAAACGGTATCAAAGAACTTACAAAATTCCAGCAGGCATAACTGTGCTCATACTACAGGCTGGATAGGTGGGAGAGTAGAGGGGGGCAGTGCTTCCAGGGCAGATTATGCTCTTGCCTTTTATCAGGGGATAGTTCTTTTTAAATAAGAGATAAAGTACCGTATTTTCCGGCGTATAAGACGACCCCCCC